AGCAGCACCATCGAGCCGGCTCTCCACTGGAGTGTATTCGCAGCTGCAGCAGCAGCAGCAGCAGCAGCTAAGCGAAGAAGCCAGGCTGGGGGTGCTTCTATACTCTTGAAGCAGCAGCAGCAGCAGCTGCTGCTGTTTCAAGGTGAGGCGCAGCAGCAGTGAACTCAAGGCTGGGCGTAGCGCATGCAGCAAAGAGCAGCAGCAGCAAACAGCAGCAGCAGCAAACAGCAGCAGCAGCAAGCAGCAGCAGCGCCAGCAGCAGTAGTTGCAAATGTGCTGCTGCTGCTGTGGTGTGTATTCACGCCAGGACTGTTGGGGGCCCCTGCCAGTGTCTCTTTTGCCCCCTTCAGCAGCAGCAGCAGCAGCAGCAGCAGCTGCTGCTGCTGCTGCTGCTGCTGCTGCTGCTGCACTGCTAGATGTCTCTGCAGCTCACGGTCACTTTCGCAGGCCTCTTGTGACTACAAAGGCTCTCTAGTGCTTTGCCTGCTGCTGCTGCTGCTTCTGTTGTTGCTGCTGCAGTTTGTGCTGCTGCTGCTGCTGCTGCAACCGTTGCTGCTGCGTCGCTGTTTGTCTTGTGGCTGGGCTGAGGTGTATGGACACTTGCTGCTGACAGCTGCATTGTTTAATTTGATTTTTTCCTTTCTTTTTCAAACCCCACAAACACGGCATATTCGCGCTGCAGCAGCAGCACGCAAGCAGCAGCAGCAGCAGCAGCAGCAGCAGCAGCGCGGCTGCAGCATTCGTCGCCCGCAAGACACACACGCTCTATCCTGAAACAGCAGCAAACAAAAGATAAGTGGAGAGCGCCTTGGGGGGCCCCCTAGGGGGCCCCCCAGGGCACCGGAAGAGGCAAGGGGGCCCCCTAGGGGGCCCCCATGCCTCTTCCGGTGCCCTGAGGGGGGCCCCCTAGGGGCCCCCCTTACCTCTAAAGCTGCTTTAAGTGGGGCGCCTTGCCTCTGGTGGTGCCCAAAGGGGGGCCCCTCGAGGTGCTAAAAGGGAGCAGCTGAGGGGCCCCCTAGGGGGGCCCCCTTGGCTCTCGCGGTGCCTTAAGGGCCCCCTTTTGTGGTACCCAGGGGGCCCCTGCTGGAAACTGGGGCCCCCAGGGGGCCCCCTAAAGTGTTAGTCTTTGGGGGCCCCTGCGGAGACACTGCGCGGGTCTGTACCCTTTAAAGAGAATCCCTGCAGGGCCTCCTGCCACTACTGCCTAACTAGGGGCCCCTATGGGGGCCCCTAGTCAGGAAAATCCTAACTAGGGGCCCCTACAGGGGCCCCCATGGGGGCCCCCATGGGGGCCCCGGTGGCATCTTTCTCTCACTAACAAATCTCCGGGGGCCTCTAGGGGCCCCCACGGGTCTCTAGAGGTCTACGGGGGCCCCCAGGGGGCCCCACGGGTCTCTAGAGGTCTCCAGGGGCCCCCAGGGGCCCTCAAGGGCCCCTAGGGGCCTTTAGGGGCCCCCAGGGGCCCCTTGGTGGGTTCTGTCGCCCCGGTGTGGGGCCCTCCGGCATATTTGCTGCTGCTGCTGCTGCTGCAGCGCTGCACTTGCTGCCAGATCTACTGCTGAGCAGGGGCCCCTGGGGGGCCCCCAACCGGTTAATTGCAGCGAGGGCCCCCCTGGGATTCTAGCCAGCTAGCTAGATGCCTAGGTAGCCAGCTAGCTAGCTGGCTAGCTAGCTAGCTACCTACCTACCTACTAGTTAGCTGGCTAGCTAGCTAGCTAGCTAGCTACCTGGCTGGCTAGCTAGCTAGCTAGCTAGCTAGCTACCTAGCTGGCTAGCTGGCGGTTGGGGCCCCTCGCTAGCTGGGGCCCCACACCAGCCACATGGACTCTGCAGAAGGCTCTTTCTCGCTTTTCTTGTTGTTAAATTTGCTGCTGCTGCTGCTGCTGCTGCTGCTGCTGCTGCTGCTGCTGCTGCTGCTGCTGCTGCTGCTGTAGGCGTAGCTGGGGTAGCACAAAGTGCAAAGGGCACTGCAAAGCTAGGGTTTAGGGTTTTGAAGAGATGACACAAACCCTGAAAAACAACGGGGCTGAGACACATGTCTGTACACTTCAGAGCTCTGTGGCCACCCCCAAAGAAGCAGCCATCAGTGACTGAACGTGCTGCTGCTGCTGTTGCTGCTGCTGTTGCTGCTGCTGCTGTTGCTGCTGCTGCTGCTGCTGCTGCTGGCTGCTGCTGGCTCTACATAGCGGCTTGCAGATGCGCTGCCAGTCTATATAGGCGGTTGCTGCTGCCTCTGTACACCGAGAGTGCCTCAGTAGCAGCAGCGGCAGCAGCAGCAGTACCAGCAACAGCAGCAGCAGCAGCAACAGCAGCAGCATGGTGCTGCTGCTGCCACCGCCAGCTGCGAGTGCGCGCTGTTCGTTTTGCTTCTTTTGCTCCCTGGGAGACAGCAGCAGGCTATTTAACATAGCTAGCCTGCCAGCTAGCTAGCTAGCTGGCCAGCAAGCTAACCAGCTAGCCAATCTAGCTAGCTAGCCAGCTAGCTAGCCAGCTAATATAG